CCTTTCTGTGCCGCCCTCTCCCCCGGCACAGCCCCGCGGCCCCCGGACGCAGGAGAGGAATTTCGGTGTGAAACCGCTGGTTTTCTGCTCAGTTGGTGGGCTGCCCGGCTCACACGGTAGCGTCTGGCGTATGTCATTTCTGCGTGGTTCTGTAAGTGGTGAATCCAGGTGTTATTCTTCCAGGTTCCAGCAAGTTTCTGTTGAAATAACTTACTTTCCGTGTTCTGGATGAGCCGCCCGGGTCTGGCAGCGGATTGCGCTGCGTTGGCCCCGGCCCCGGGCAGGCCCACCGCCGCAGAGACTGTCCCGCTGCGCCTCGGGAGCGTCTGCTGCGGCGTTCAGGGCAGGTTTTGGGGCAGGGGCTGGGTGCCGCCAAACCCCGGCGGTGTGGGGGTCACCTCCCGTTCGAGCAGGGCGGGTTTGCCCCGGTGGGTGTCTGTTGTGGTTCTCGGGGAAGTGGAGACAGGCGGGGCGGGCAGCGGCTGCCCGGGTAATTAGCTTTGAAGCTTTAATTCGCAAAGTTAGATCTGACACCTGAATACGCCAAGGCATAGTGTACAGTAATTGTATCTGCCTTTTCCTGAGGTTATATCCCCCAGGAAGGATATTCCCCTGGTATTTATAACGAATATCCCCACAGCATACTTCAGGGTGTTCTTAGTCCTTTTAAATCCTAGTTCAGTTGTCACAACACTGCGTGTTGTTTAGGTACTAACAGAGATTGCTTAGATTACTAGATACTTACAAAAGAGTTTATTTGCCGCTTTTAGTTTAGTTCCGTAAGTATTTTCTCTTACTTTATTTTCACAGTGCCTTTCCCCCCTCTGAATTTGGACGGCGCCAGAGCTTTGCTTTATCCTTTTCCGGCCATCCACGTATACCAAAAACGTCCTCGTGTCATGGTGTCTACCAGTGAGCTACAGGCCTTAAATTTGCTTTTGGCTTTTTAAATAGCTAACGTTTTTTGTGGAGTTTGGATTGCCTTCATCATCTTCTCTCTGCAGATTCCTTCCGCGAGAAGTAGAAAAAGTTCTCTTCTGGCTGAAGTTGCTGTTGAGGGACACTTCTCTCTTTGGATGCTCTTCGGCAGGAGGTCCCAGTTTAACGCTGTTACTTGCACAGAATGGAATGTGTCCGTCTTAAATGAACAAGAGGCTGATGGGTTTGTTATTTTTGGAGTTCAACCAAAATGTGTTTGGTTTTTGTGTTTATGTGGCTGGGATGTGTTGGTTTTGCAAGCTGCAGTAAGGATTCCAAATTGTTTCACTTTAATAAGTGGATTTATTAAATATAGAGGCAGACGTCTTGTCACCCTGAACCCAGGGGCAAGCCTTGGGAATTTCAGAGTTGCCTGTTTGCTAGCGTCATTATCCTTTGATTAATGAGAGGCAGGCGTCGCATGGATGGCAGGCTACTTGGTACAAGTGTGGAGATATCTCACGCAAGAACCTGTGGGTTTCCAGGGCTTTAGCCAAAGGCTGCGCCACCTCTTGCCTGGAGGTATCTCACCAGGTATCTCACCTTCTTGCATGCACCCTTCCGCACGTTTGTCTGTCCCTTCTGCCTGAGGACCAAGCTTGCGTTTCCGAGCCCTCGCGACCTAATGTCCAGCCCTGTTGGATGGGAGGTGGAGACCCAATGGTCCCTGCCAGCTGGGGGCTGCACTGAGTCCGGGGGGAATTGCTGCTGCTCCAGCAGCTGCCGATCTGGCACGTGAGGCACCTCGTAGCGGTCCCCGGGCTTCCAGAGCCTTGCCACTCTAATCGGTGTTGGGTTCAATGCTTGGCCTCTTCAGTGAACCAGATGTTTCACCCGGATGTCAAAGAATGCGGAGCGGGTCTGGTAATGTTACCACCGCTTTGCGGGGAACACCACATTTTTTTTAATGACTGCATAAAACTGCATAAAAGGTGATCAGTAGCGTAAGTGCTGTTTTGATGGGCGGGTTGTGTTAGCATTACAGGGACTGTGGTTGTCTGCTTTTAATGATCTAAATTGGAAATAACTGCACGGAAGTCTGGGGTCTCCTGAACGTAAATGGATGGATGAGAGTAGAGGATTTGCCACCTTTAGCTCACCTTTTAGTCGTGTTGTTTGTGAAGTAGCTCTAGTCATATGTTTAGAAAGTGGAGTCTAAATTGGGTTACAGTTATTTAATATTATGAAACTACCAGGTAGCTTGTATAATTCGCAGATTCAGCAGTCACCGGTGCTTTTTCTAAAAATCATAACCTTTCAATTCTGTTTTCACCATTAGGTGCCTCGTTTGGTCGTATTCTGTGTTATACCATCATTATCATGCTGCTTGTATAGACGATCCTGCAACAGCACCTTTGAGACTGTTTGATTTAAGAAAATGAGGATGTGCTCTGTAGGTTAAAGGCTGTAAGAGAGAGGAGTTCCAGTTTTATTTTGAGTCTTATTGGAATCTGAAACATTTCTTAAATGAAAGATTTGTAAGTAAACAAAAATATTGTTAAAATTGGTAGATGTAGTGGGTCATACTAACATCAGTCCCTGGACTGATGCATGAAATGGTGCTGTCCGAACATAAAGCTATATGCGTATGATAAATAGTTGTTAAATTGTGATTTCTCGTATTTTAGTCTCTTTCTACATTCTGCCCAGTAGTTCTTCCTGCTGGAAGGTATTTGCACACTACAGCCACAGATTGGGGTTTTTTATGCAGCTTGCAACAATTATTAGTGTTTTTGCTTTGGTTCAGAACTTTGTCTAAAATTTATTTTGGATCACATCTAAGAAAAAGAATCACTTGAAAGAATTTTAAAGTACCGACTGTACTTAGCCAGAGTGTACTATTTATAGCTTTGTGAGAAACCTCGACGGCTTTTATATTAGTAACATAAAAGTTGAAATTGGCCAAAAACTTGAAGGAGGACGTATATTTTGTTAGTAAAATAACTTGTCGTTTTCTGTCAGGCTTTGTAACTACCAGAGCTGCTGCTGTGCTCAAAAGGGTAGGACAGCCAAAGGTAAGATTTCTTGTGGTGTCCCAGGTTCTTCCTGGTTTTCACCAAATTGCCCCTTTGGAGATAACTTTAACTGTCACTTACGCGTAGACAGGAAGGGCAAGTGACCATCAGCAGAATGCAGCCTGACTTCTTTGTGACCATTAAACTTCACCGAGTCGGAGCTCACCGGCTGCGTCGTATGTCTCCAGCGTTACCGCTGCTCCCGCCAGTCTGCGGTGTGGCGCTGGTGGCTTCCTCTCCAGACCATACCGGGTTTCCCGTGGCAGCCTTTCTCTTTACCACAAGTGCTTTCGGAAGTGCAGAGGGTAAAGCCGATTTAGAAGTGTTGTGAGTTCGCAGTCTCACTTCTGCTGATTTTAAAAGCCAAGAAGCACGGAGCAGTCTGCCTCGTAACCTCGGGGTGATGTCTAGAAAATGGGCTTTGCAGAGTCCTTCCGCAGCTGCTTCAGTGACTTGGCTGAAAAACGAGGAAGCTGCCAAAGGTTGAAGTGAATGGTAAAAATGACATATTAATGAACAGAAAACTTGAAGCTGGCTTTAATACAGTGATACAAAATCATGAGACAAGACCCCAATGCAAAGGGGTTTTTTGTGTAGTGGCACCTGGGCAGGGAAAGGTCCTGCAGTGCTGGCGTAGCCATGGCTGCACTACAGAGCGCCCTGTACAGCAGTGCTCCGAACCATCCAGAACATTCTGAAGAAAAGATGATTTTCTGGTGTATCTTAGGTGGTTTGGAAAGGTGGTTTAACTCCACGTGCAGATGAGAGTTTCATCTCCATGGAGGAGTCTTGCCTGGTATGGTTTTACCAGTATAGATACTTCTGCAAAACCTTTGTCTTTCTGAGGATTAATTAGGTACAGAGTTAAGAAGAATTTCCCTTCCTTAGCCTTTATTTAACCATCCAATTCAAACATAACAAACCTAAAACGTAACTTTTAAAATCAGATACAGGCTTCAGGGTATCGCTTGGTCAGATGGTAAGGGTGTGAGATTTTTTCCATTCAGGTGGCTTCCAGAAATGCTTTAAATCTGAGGAGAGACAGTTCTTTGCAGATCTGGTTTATGGACTGGCCAAAGCACTAAAAAAAGTGTCTGAAATCATGGGACTTTGCTCAGCTTTTGGGTTTTTAATTAAAGTTCTTGATCTCACCAGTGGCCAACAAAAAATAAACTTTAATCCTAGAAATTAAATTATATTATGTGTAAATTCTTACGCGGACGGGTAGCCTGCAGTTCATAACGGTGTCTTCGGTGAGAGTCCCTGTATGAGTGAGATGTGCAGGATTAGGCCTATATGACCCAGCTTTCTGGGTACGCAGATTTATCAGTCAGGCTCCTCAGTGTTCTTAGATGCTGCAATATTTTGTTTTGCTTTAAGTAAAGCAAACAGAACTCAAATAGGTAGCCCTCTGTTAACGTGTCAGTTATGAAACACGGGTACCTACTGTGAAACCGAGGAAGTTTGTAGACAGCTTGACACAGTGGAGGGAAGGTGGTAGCGTCTTCAATCCAAGCTCTTCTATTTATTTTGTTTTCTCGAAGCTCAGTGGTGACTGTCACATGCCTTTGTTAAGTGATTATTGCAGTGAGTGAAAGGTGGTATAGAAGTTAATCTGAAAAGTGAAAGCTAAGACTAAGAAATGTGGTAAGGGAGTTGGAGAAGCACAAAGTTGGAGAGAAAGCAGAAAGGTGGAAAATGGAGCAGAGCAAGAGTGGGCTCTCAACGCAGTCATTTTTTAATGGATATTTGTACAGCGTGGTTAAACAGGAGCAGCTAACAGTCTTGTTACTGCATGAAGTCTATGCCCCTGATCTCTGTGCAGACTTCACTGACCGCACTGAGAAATTATGTTAGATGAAAAAGAACAAAATTTAACTTTTCCCGGGCTTCATCTGTGTTTTTTTTTCCTGTCAAAGTTGACTGGCATATAATTTTACCTTTTTAATAGCTGATCTGCATTTTTGCACAGTGCTAGCACACATTAATAAAAACCCCCAAACTTTTCCTAATGTTGTACTGCCTTGAGGGTGCGTTGCAGTCACACCAGGACTCTCTCCGGCCCAATGTGCCCACCGGGGCAGCAGCGCCGTCCTGGCGAGCCGGGCAGTGTCGCGGTCTGTCACCAGTTCTTGGCCGCTGGCGGTGCCCATCTTCTGCCCGTTGAACTGGCAGGCCTTTATGTTTTTCTAGCTCCTGGTTTCTTTATGGGATTGTTTTTGCACCGATTTCTGCTGCTTATTCAATCTATCACGTGATTTAGCCAGGGAACTCTGAAGTTTTATTCAGTACGTTGTTTCCTTCATTAAGCTTGCTTTCAGTGACAGTATCTGCAGGGTGATATTTCATCCGCTGATTAAAACCATTTTGCTGTTGGTGCTTGTTATTTGTTAAAAGTAAAAAGGATTTTTGGATCACAGATACATAAATTTATCTGTCATATGTAATTTCTACCCAAAACATTCACTGCCTTCAAAAGCATTTAATAATAATTCTGAAGTATAAAAAGTTATATTTTCCCAGAGAAATTACACAGTTTCAACCTTAACACTCTGTAAAATTATGAATATACGTTATTTTTTGAATGAAGCAGAAATGGTTGAATATTTTTCTTTTTTTTTTTCCAATTCTTTTTTTAATTTAGTACAAAATTTCTCTCTAGCCACAAAGTATTCGATTCTAGCTATGAGTAGCAGTCAAACTGCCCACTGTCAGCTCACCAAAGAAGAGCCAGTATATTTATATGTAATATTTAGAATATTTTTGTGTTTGTTTTTGGTAATTGAAGTACTACTTAGTTTCAGCACCCAGGAAATTATTTCGGCCATAGCTGTAGTGCTTTTCTCTCAAGTACATCTAGTCAAATAAATATCACATTTTTGAGAAACAAAGTATATGAGAATTATTCAGCTCAAATGTGTCTACATACTCACAAAAGAAGATCAAAGAAAAGTTTTAAAATGCATGAATGATGTGCTTAGAAAAAGTGCACTGACTCTGAAAGTCTAATACTGCTGAACTCCAGAGCACCCGCTCTGGTATGGATGAAAGGAAACATTAAGGATCTAAAAATGGGAGGAACAGGGAAAAGTAGAATTGAGTAAAGGGGTAAACAGCCTAAAAAACACAGAACCATAGAATGGTTTGGGTTGGAAGGGACCTTAAAGGCCATCTAGTTCCACCCCCTGCCCTGGGCAAGGAACCAGCCTACCAGCCCAGGTTGCTCCAAGCCCCGTCCAACCTGGCCTTGAACACCTCCAGGGATGGGGCAGCCACAGCTTCTCGGGGCAACCTGCCCCAGGGGATCACCTCCCGCACAGACAAGAATTTCTTCCTCAGATCTCACCTCAATCTCCCCTCTGTCAGTGTCAAACCGTTCCCCCTCATCCCATGGCTCCCCTCCCTGACCCAGAGTCCCTCCCCAGCTCTCCTGGAGCCCCTTTAGGCACTGGAAGGGGCTCTGAGGTCTCCCCTTTTTGGCCTTCTCTTCTCCAGGCTGAACCCCCCCAACTCTCCCAGCCTGTTCTCCCAGCAGAGGGGCTCCATCCCTCCCAGCATCTCCGGGGCCTCCTCTGGCCCCGCTCCAACAGGTCCATGTCCTTCTGCTGTTGAGGGCCCCCGAGCTGGAGGCAGTACGCCAGGTGTGGTTTCATTTAGAACATTTTCTCTTCTTTTTAAATACCTCACTGAAGGAAACAAATAATACCGTATCTCGACCAAACAGCTATTCATAATGAAAAGTAAACATGCTGAGAACAATACAGGGAACAAATCATGCAGAGGACGGTGGAGCTGAGGCAGGTCTTCTCCAGCATCGCAGGAAGCTGGCATCCATGGAGACCTGGTAGATGGCTTCAGGAGGTCATGGCTTTGATTGCGTACGGGTCTTGGCGATGGATTGTGTCCCCCAGCATCACTGGTTTAAAATTGCCTACAGACTAAGTGCCAGTGGAGGCGAGTGTTTGAATCTCAGGTTATAGGCTGTTTTGAGGCAGATGGTGGGGCTTATCATCAATCTTTACAGCAACTGGGAATGGACTCACGATTGTGTTCTGTGGGGAGGAAGAATCCAGTCGTCTGCTGTGTGGCTTTCTGTGCTCCCCTGTCTGTCTTCTGGTGTCCTCACCCAGCAATGCAGCTTGCACCACATCATCAGGTCACACTTGGAGCATCCGTGGTGGCTCATACCTGCTTTTTGGTCATACATGTTTCTAACTGTGTATCTCCCAGTGCATGTTTGGGTTACGTGACAATGTACATGGGAAAGATGCGTCTAATATACTTGTCTGTGTCCTTGTTGAAGATAAAACGCCAAATTGGCAAAGTGCTTTTTAAAGATTTGTAACTCAGGTATGTTACGTTTATCTAGAAGAGTGAAAGGATTCTTCCTATTTCAGTTTTCGTTGAAACTCAAATGTAAAATTCAGAATGAGGACCACTTTCCTTAAATGAAAGTACATGACTTCAGTATATATATAAAAAAAAATAATCTATTGTGTTCCTGCTTTGACTGAACAATCAGAATAACTGTCCTTTGCTATGCAAATCTTGTCCCCATTAGGTTAGAGTAGCGTACATAAGGCAGTTGTGACGTATGGCATGGTTTTGGTTACAGAGCTAGAAACCGGTATGGTTTTAGCAGGTGCCATTGCAAAAAAGGGCAGAAAAAGAGGCAGGGAACATTAGCACCAGGTAGACTTTTTTTTGGTGGTTTTTTTAATAGGCACCCTTTTCTTGTGTTACCTTTAGTAGATGCCTCTAGAGAAGGTAATGGCAGACGTGGCTGGGGTCAGGCTGTGTATTGAACAGTAAGGGCGCCAGCCGTTCAAGACCATCGATGGCTGGTTTTTAGGTGCAGGTTAGTGGAGTGAATTGGAATACGCACCCTTTGATTGGCAGGAAATTGAACTCTTGTGCTGGAACAGGGCAGCTCAGAGGCGGACTTGGCCAATGTGTGCTTGGCTCAGCACCTGCTGTGGGCATTGGCCCGGGGACGGCCGTCAGCCCAGTGATGGCCACAGTGGCGGAAACGGCACTGCTCTTTGAGACTGGGTTGTACACTTTTCTACTTCGGCCTTTTATAACGCCTTTCTATTGGACACAGTTTTTTCTCTTTCTTGTTTACTTATTTTTCTGTAGTTCCAACGATTTTTTTCTTTGAGTAGTTTGTGGCAAAATACAAGATTGCGCTTCATTCTCTACTCTTGAGGTGTAGTAACTGCACTGGCTTTGGTGGCAGCTTCTGTT